TATCGTTTCCAGCACGGTTTTCTACCTGGCAGGTCATGTGTCACCAATATGCTGACTGTCATGGATAGCCTGACTAAGGCATACGATTCCGGCAATATCTCTCATATCGTTTTCGTTGACTTTGCGAAGGCTTTTGACAAGGTTCCACACATACCTCTTTTCCACAAACTTGCGGCACACGGCATTGTAGACCCCTTTCTTACTCTTATTCGACGCTTCCTCGCAAAGTGCTCATTTGCTGTTCGTGTTGGCGAATCCTCATCAAAGCCCAGCCCAATTAAGACTGGTGTTCCCCAAGGTTCTGTTCTAGGACCCCTTCTCTTCCTCATTTATACAAATGAACTACCCGATGTAATGTCATCAAGGATTGCACTGTACGCCTATGAGGTCACCATCTGGGATACAGACACCTCTCTTTTACATGCCTCAATTGATTCTGCCAAGCGTTGGTCACTAGATTGGAATCTTCCAATCAACAATGTGTGTTCGGATGTCGTTCAATGGTCGCCTATCTCACCCTTTTACGATAGAAGGCTTCCACACTCTACCCCAAGTGGACCAATACAAAGTTCTTGGTTTTTGGTTAAACAACAATCTGTATTTATCTTTTCATAACCATCTGGCCAGTAAGGCCACTTTTCGAGTCCTGAACCTCATCGAAAGATGTTTCCCCCGTATTCTTAAGCATGACTTTCTCCCTTTTTACGGAACGTACATTTGCCCTCTCTTAGAGTACGGACGCCAAATTGCACACTCTGGCCTCATCCGAGATCGTGACTGCCTTGAGCGCGTCCAGAGAGCCGCTACAAAATCTGTCCTTGGATTTAGGGACCCCCTCTAACCAACGCGGCCCCAAACACTGGGCCTTTACCCGTAGAAATCAAATGCATTCGGGGAGATCTATTTCTCCTTTACCATCTCTTCGACACGAGCACTGTCGAAACCTTTTTTGTCATTGCTGACTCTCAGCTTACCCGAGTTTATGGAAAAAAATCTTCAAGCCCCGTCCGAGAACCACTCTACGTACCTCATTCTTTACCTTCAAGGTGATATCCTTATGGAATGCCATTCCAGAAGAGATAGTCAGTGCCCCCAGCAAGGTGGTCTTCAAACTTCGTCCTGACTGCCACTTAGGTTTATCTACTCACCCCCAAAAAACGAAAAAAAAACATTTTGAATTATACGAGAGTTCGCAAGTCATCATTTAATTTCTCGCTTCGAGCGGGGAACCTTTTCATTAATCTCTGTTCTAGAAGGAATTTGAACCAAAAGAAAACACAGATACCTTTCAAGGACCCGGGGCATTTGGGCAACAGCATCGAACCCGTGAATCACTTCACGACTTCAAGACCATCACATCCTGGGCAAAGGCCTTTTGCTTTGACCCAGATTTATGCAGAGCAACTACCATCGCTCTCTTCCAATCTCCCGGTATCTCGCTTTTATCTAGAGATGCATGAAACAACTTTGACAGAAGCCCTTGGAGCATCTTCGCTAGTGGTTTAACAATAGCGGGATGGATGCCATCCGGTCCCGCTCCCTTGAACTTATTCAGGGTAGCTAACTCGTGAAGGACTTCGTCTGGTGTCACAGTTATTTCAGTCAGCTGTGATGTCGCACTGGAATAATCTGCCATAACCAACGGTGCTGTCTGTCAGTACACCTTCTGAAGAAAGCCAGAAGGGTATTTGCCTTGTCTTCGTCGCTTAGGGCAAGACATCCATCAGTTCTTTTTAACGTTCCAATCCCCCCTCTTGATGCCTTTTGTGATTGGACGTAAGCATAGAACCTCTTTGGGTTCTGTTTTGCTTTTATCGCAATCCCATGCTCATAGTCGTACCTGGCCCTTCGCTGCATAGCCTTCCTTGTAGCTACACTATGCCTGATACGAACTGAGCCGTTTATAAAGCGCCCACTTTCAACTCCTTGTGTCCAGAGCCCTGTCTACACATGGTTTCCACCATAGTGGCCGTTGTTTGAGTCCCTAGGCCTCAGGGGTGCAAACTCTTCAGTGGGCTTCAGTAAACTATCTTTAATTTCAGCCCATCTCTCTTTGATGGTAGGATCAGCTGTTCCCAGCTTAAACCTAACGCTGACTCTCGAAGACTCTCTTCTTGAACATTCCCATACAAGTGAACCATTTCGATCCCTGGCTTAGTGCACCGTGCCAGTACTTTTAGCTGAAGGACCGCGTGGTTGCTTCTGCCTAGGGGGACATCTACCCTGAGACTAACGACATCTGACCTTGTTCGAGAAATAGCTAAGTCAAGGATCGAAGACCTCTGGCTGAAACGGAAACGGGTGGGTTCCCTTACATGCTGCACAAGCGCATGCGAATAGATCCACTCCAGTAGTGCCCTCC